ATTATCAGAAATTTAAATTAAAAAATTAGATTTTGCACCAAATGCCAGGAAGGCCTATTAGTCTTAAATAGGGGTGGGGGGATAAATATTTTGTAGACAGGGTGCATATTTTATTCCCACCACCTGTTCTGTTGGTAAGTAACCTTAACACGTTTGTCATTCTCAAAATGTCTAGCTGCTAAATCTGTTTCTTAGTGCAAATGATTAAGTTGCTGAATCGCTTCTTCCAGGTAAATTTCTCCTTCACCATTTTGTTAGATGTTGGTTGGGAGAAAATGTTTGCCAACAACTACATTAGTGTTTTTGTTTGTGTTTTTCTTCCCAGTTTCTGGGACGAGCACACTAAGATGTACCATTGTACTGGCCCAGATATTGTGATAAATTTAAAGATACAATATTAATAAGAATTCATGACACAAACTCTGAAATTAAAGGAAGCGTTAGGCAGAAATATTTTTGATGTGGAAGTCACATCAGTGACCAACACTAACAAATTAGTGTTTAAATTTTTTGATCTCCTGACCTGTAACTTTTGACTTTTTTTTTCTCCTCGGCTATGGGTTAAATAGTAGTGCAGATTGAACTCTTCACCCTTGGTTGTCAACCAGTCTAGAAGGACAACTGACTTCAAAAATCGTATGTAGTTCTGGTAAAGCAGCTACTATAAGCAGCTAATGAAAATATTGTGGACTTCACAATGACTGATTATTACTGTGATCAACTCCTTGCCTGATAATTCTTAACATCTTGATCACTATTAACGACAGATTATCAACTGCAAAGATTTCAAAAATACCTTCTACATAAAGAGCCTATATGTCTGAGTTGCATTTTTACCTCTCTCAGATAAAATAAATGAACTGAAATGTTGGTTATTTTCTATTTCATATTTAATCATAGATTCAACATTTTATAAAAAAAAAACGAAACTTATTTTTTTTCTTTAACTGCAACAATGCAACAAAACTTGAGTAAAGTCAGCACCAAATATAGTCGGCCATTATTCAATACTTCGAAGATATAATTAGAGGAAACAAAAAAAAAAGAAAAACTTCCTCAATACCCTCCCTTTTTATTGGGTTTCATTTCCTGCAGTCAATTCCTAAAATAAACAATGTGCACATTTAATTTTTATAATTGATGGTAAGTTTGAAATGTGACCCATAAACAAGTGGGGTGAGGCTGTAGAGTTATTTGACCAATTTACTTTCCAAAATGTGACCAAATAGGAATTTATTTTTTCTCTTAGCCAGAGCAAAAGTGTGTGTGATCTATTAGTAAAAGATGAAAACTTATATCAGCTGATTCATGACTAGAAAACTTTCTTAGCATTGTGATGGTGAACAAGTGCAATTCCATAAACGTTTAGGAAACTGCTGGATATATTCATCGTCCGCATAATTTCTAATACTGAAGAACAAATGTTTGACTAATTTTTGAAAAAAAAAATTAATTTTTTACGTATATCAGTCGATGTTATTGTTTAATGTCACAGGTTATGTAGGAGAATTGTGTAATAGCTATTCGCAGTTTTTTTTTTTTTTTTTTTTAAGTCCATCGAAGAATCGGGCGAAAAGTTTTCATGAATCTATTTTGGTTCTTTTTCCCCAAACAAGTATTTTTCTTGTCTTCGTTATAGTCATACCCTGAACAGTTAAATATCTTTCTAAAAAAAAAAAACTTTCTGCATGAAAGCAATAAAGCCTTCTTTTTCACTGTCCATATTTTTTTTTTTTTTTTTTTTTTTTTTAACATTTTAATAACTTGAAAAGTATGTTTCAGATTTGAATCAACCCACAACAAAGTTGTTTAAATATAATTTTTTTTTTTTTTTTTTTTTTTTTTTTTTTTAGTGTGATAACTAAATTCTCAGCGTGTATGTGTAAAAGTTCTTTCAGTCTTTTGAAGTTGAGATGAAAATAAATGTGATTTATTGACGTATGTGTGAGAAAGAAGCAGCAAACAGGGAAGTGAGGCAGAATGTGTTACATAGCTTGATGAGGGGGACTGGTAAATGTTTAAGGGAATTTCTTTTAAGCTTATGCATTTGTGAAACCGTTGCCGTCTGTATCTTCTTACTGACTTGTCTGGTCTAGAAACTTTACGTCTAGACCAGTGGTTCTCAACCGGGGTCTACATGGACCATAGGGGTCCATGTAATATTTCCGGGGGTCCACAGGCAAAACACAATTGTTGTGTTAATTAAAAATAGTAATAATAATTATTATTATTATAATTATAGTAGAATATTTTATTTGTATTAAATTAGTTTTCATTTAAAAATAAAGCTTAATCGTATACTATTTCTTTGATAATTAAAACCTTAAAATTTATATTAGTGAAGAATAGAAAATTGTTCTTATGTCCAATAGCTATGAAGGGGTCCACCAAGATAAAAAGAAGGGGAAAGGGGTCCATGGGTAAAAAAAGGTTGATAACCACTGGTCTAGACTATTTCAAAGGGATGTCAAAGTAGATTTTTATTTGTTAAAGTGCGACCCATTGGTTGAAAAATGTTAAATATTTTCAAAGCCTTTTATTTACTGGAAGAATGAACAAACTTTAGTTCCGTCTTCGCTCCACAAGAAAATGTCGGTAAAAGAAATATTTCTCACAACCAGTATTTATCCACCAGCAAGTTTAAATTGTCAGTTACAAAGTAATATTTGAACAGAAAGGTAAAGCAGGTTTTTCACTTTAAAGCTTTTCATGAGGATGAGTTTTCCTGTAATATTTTAGCGAACGACTTAAATTTTTTTTTTCTAAAAAGCATTTGTCCAATTTCAGCGGGATATTTTTGTGTAAAAATACACAAATAGGATACAAGATCTAAGATTTCTGTAAAATGACATTTGTAATTCCGAAAAGTTTGAAGGGTGGAGCAAATATTTCTTAATGCAGTGTTGTTTTTTTTTTTTTTTTTTTTTTTTTTTTTACTTTCATGTCACGTGCCTTCCATTGTCATCTCGGGTTTCTTCAATTCCTCCCCTATTTTGAATTGTCATCTTATAATTTTTCACCCTAATACTTTCCCATATACAAAGGATATGGAAATTCCTTCCTAATTCCATACAACTTTTAAACTTTAAATTTTTGTTTTGTATCAAGGTTTTACATCACTATGCTAAATATCTTGGTGTGTGTATTTATTGTGCATTTTTGAAACGTACGTATTTTGTCATTGGCTTAAACCTTTTGCTACCCTCATGAATAAACGTTGATTATAGCCTTTTTTTTTTTTTTTTTTTTTTTTTTTAAATCTCTTAAAGTATTTTTTTTCCACAGGGGAATTCACTTCCTAAATTAAATGACCCCCCCCCTTCCCTACACAGACATGTAATTTTTTTCTTTTCTATCCTGAACAAGCGGAAAACACTTCTTTGTGTGAATAAATGACATTAGCTTTCAAATCAGTCGGGAACGGATTGTCACCAGAATCAAATCTAAACAAAAGACAGATACCGCCATTTCCTTCCCACACTTTCTGCTGCTGCAATGGCTCAATTAAGTCTAAATAACAATTACCAAATTATTTCCTGTCGCTCCCTCTCGGTTACTTTCTATCACTTCCCCATAGTCGACACAATCTTCGATTAATAAAGGTTTTTAAATAAATTTTAATCTTGATTTGTGATGCGCAAACATTTTTCCCCCTCTTGACTGTTTATTCATTCCTCTCCCTATCCACCTTTTCAACGTGCCCCCACCAACTCTAACCAGATCCTTTTCTATCATGTGGGCAGATCAGTTTTTTGTTACTTGTTAGTGTCCAGTAATGACCCACCCTTTTCCACTTTCTGCTCAGCAAACTTGACTTGGAGATAACTATCAATAAGTTCCACTGCCCCTCCCAATATCTGTTGATCCATGCTAAATTAAGATAAATAATAAATTGATCACTTTGAATTTTTTTTCCTCAATTGGAAGCTGCATTTAAATGAATGCCTCTTCCGCTTGTCTCTGATTAGCCATCTTTTCTTTTAGTTTCAGCAAGGAGAAATACGATCATAGCATAAAATATCTATGCAAGAGTTTACTTAAAACTTTTTACTTGGCTGCAAAGAATTTGATTGATTAAACTAAAAACGAGAAGATTATTTATTTATTTATATATATATATATATATATATATATGTGTGTGCCTTACTCAATCATACTTGCTCTCATGTTATGGTTAAATCCCAGGGGCGCTCCCTTTAAGAAATGAATTCACCAGAGCTAAGCTGAATTACCTAACCAATACACTAGAACAGGTGTTCGTATTCTTGTGAAGCTTTTTTTCTTTTTTTCTTTTCGGACAGAAACTAATAAATTTTGTCCTTCTCCGGTAATAAAAAAAGATGCAAAAAAAAAGTGATTTCTACATGTAAGTGCCATCTAGCTTGGTGAGGAAGACTGGTGAATAAGTAAGGGAATGTCTTTTAAGCCGATGCATTGTGAAACTGTTTCTGCCTGTATCTCCTTACTGCTTCGTCGGGTCTAGAAACTTTGTTTAAATACCCTTCAAAGGAAATGCAAAGTTGTTTTCTTTTTTTTTCTTTTTACTGGAACGTGGCCCATTCATTGAAACATGTTGACTATTTATTTTCAAGCCATTAATTTATCCGAAAGAATGCGCGACTCGCTTGACAACAAAACAGAATATCTGACAGAAGATGAGTTTCCAGAAAACTGTTCAGAATGACTGTTTTACTAACAGGGATTCGACTTCTGTACCCTTACATTTGACTAATTTAGGAACAAAGCACTAGAAGGTAAACTTACAAATGATTAAAATATAATTCAAGTTAATGTTTAACTTAAATCATTCAAAGATCTATTCGAACAAATTGACTTTTTTCTTAGTGTCTTCAACCTGTGAAATCTCTTCTCCCCTCCCCTTTTAGAAGCAAAAGATAATCTGAGTTGACAATGACAGGTACCCTATTGTGTAGGTCAGTTACGCTGTGTGACAGTTTTTGCATGTAGATATCTACCCAGATATTGAACTGAATTGTTTAACCAGTTTCCGTACGATCACTGAAGTTAAGCATTCTCGTACCTGGTCGGTACTTAGATAGGTAACCGCTTGGGAATACTAGGTACTGTAAGCTTGGATGTGCAGGTGGTGTAATGTATCTTGGAATTGTTAATCAGAGAGCAGTTCCAAATTCGTTATATTCACTTATGTGCAAATACTCTTGAGAAAGACATGGATCCACTTCTCTCCCCAACTATGGGTTAATTAGTAGGACGTGTATCAGTAAAATATCTCCAGAAAAAATTCTTACGATGTAAAAATATTTTCTGTCTTTAAATAACCTGCAAAGGGTTGATAATGTGTAAATATTGAATCAACAAACAAAATCATGTTTTTAGTGATGTCTGCCATATCTTCTAAATGCTCAATAAGGTTTAATATCAGACACTTGTTTCTGGAATGAGTTGGTGTTTCTGTGAATGGTAGATTCCATGATCTTACTATAACAAACCATCAGGGGAAACATGCAAGTGCTTTACAACAAAATTTGTTTATAATTACGTTTTAAAAACTCCAATTTCGATTGTACTTCTTGCCTGACCCATTTTTAACATATGACCAAACTTTTTTAGTGGCAAATTGACACTATCTTTTCCTCGTATATCACCCCCTCCAATTTCCCCTCCATTTAAGTGCTCGGAATGAGCCACATTTTTTTTTCTTTTACTACTTATACTATTTCTGTAAAATGTATATTCATTTTAAATGAGTTGTATAACCGAAGAAGGTTGTAATATTGAAAACAATCCAACAGTAAATAACGCAAAATGCGACCATTGTTTGTATGCAAAAGGTTTTCACATAATCGTGGGGCTGTATATCAATCAACTGATGTAAATGACTAAAAAACGAATCGGTCGGTCGTGTTATGTTTGGAGTAATATTTTCTGATACTGTAGATAAATGTAGTGAAAATACTGATTTATTTTTTAAATATCCCAAATAGTTATTTTAGCAACTGGTTTAGTCTCTAAATTAATGGTTGTTATCGTGTAGTAATTTGCTGTTCCTGGTTGAAATATTTTCTAGATTTTTGTAACGGAAGTGAGTGTTTATGGTCTGGTGTTGTAATGAAGTCTGGCTTTTTAGTGTTTTTGGTGGAAGGGGTTTTAAGTCTTGTCGCCTTCTTCCAGTTGACCTGAAAAAGGAACTCCACTTTGTGAAGCAAGCAGACATTTCTTTGAGAAATGAGGAAATTTGGTCTCCACTTTCATGACTTGCACTTTTGAATTCCAAGACACAAACAAATGCATTCATTCTGAAGGTTTTTTTTTTTTTTTTTTCTCCCCCGCCTCCTCGGTTTGTATTTTTACGCTACTGTTTTGAGACCTTTGCTTTTTTTTTTTTTTTTTTTTTTCGCCCTCTGTGCTTTCTTCTTGTTTTTTTTTTGTTTTCGTTTTTTTTTTTGTTGTTCTTTCTTTCGTTCGTTCGTTTCCTCCTATTTTTTTTTTTTTTCCCGTCCTCAGCCGGTCGCATTTTTAACCCAAATGGTTATTTTAGAATTCTTTACCTACCCCGACTTCAACTTGATAAATAACCTTCTCCACAAAAGTGTACTTTTTCTCTCCTTTTGTTTCCCCGTATACGAAATATCTTTGTCAGAATCTTTTGCGGGTGAACCTTCAAAGGACTTTAATTTGTCGGCAGCGATGAACGTCTCGAATTAAGTGACTTCAATGTTTTAAGCCTTTTAGGTCGAAAGATGAAAAATATTTTAAGAAAAACGTAAAATATCTTTATAAACTTCAAAGCCTAAGTTGTGAAACTGGAAATCTGGTTAGCTCCCACCAGCCTTCTGGGTGTTGTTTTTTTTTTTGTGTGTAGGTCATTAGTAAAGCTCGAACTTGCACCAATGGTAATGGTTTAAGACTTGTAGGCTAAAATGTGAGAATTTGGAACGCTAAACTACAACCTTTCAAGCAGAAGGTAACAAGCTAGACTATTGGTTTTTACGTTACAATGAAAAGCGCATGCTTGATACTGTCTTCCCCAATTCTTCTGTGTATCGTGTCCAAGGCGACCCAGAATTATAATAGTGATGAATCGCCGTGGTCGTGTCCCTTCAGGACCTAAGCGATTGAAGAAAATATCCAAATATTCAATACAGATTTCTAGACATTGCTTTAGTTTAAACTTTTTTTTTTATCCGTACTTGAGTAGACTCCGTTTAAAATAGTCTTATTTCGTCTACCGTCTTTGAACGTCTTAAGATTTCTCGAATGTTCAAGCCGATAGACGAAACAATGTACTCGAAAGTAGAATGTTGATTTTAAACAGACCGTCTGATTAAATTTGGGTTCCCACTAAAAAAAAAAAAACGTTTAAAAAGTAATACACATTTTTGATTAATACAAAAATCAATTCTTTAGAAATTACATATATAGAACTAGATGTACATGTCTTAAAAGGAAAAACCAATTCAGTCTTCCAATTAGTGATGTTTTTGAGAATCTTGTAATGACGTCCATTAGTGTGCCAGTTTGTCACGAGATTCCCGTTTGTATTGACGGCATTCACGTATGATCAATGTCGGTATTGACTTTACGATGCGCCACATGGTTCGTTTGTAACTAAAAACCTCAGTTCTCTCAGGGACTAAAGTTTTCCCGGAGAGGAAACTACACACGGCTTGTCTTATTGTGACATCATAGAGCTGAAAAACGAAAAAAAAAAAAGTGTATGCGTTTTTTTTGTTTTTATTCTCTCCTATACTGATTTATACAACGCCACCTATTGGATTTTAAGTCTCCTGGCAGATAAGGCGAGGTAATCCTGTTAAGACCCTCCTTGAAAAACAGTTTTTTGTTTTAAATTTGTTGTTCTACGATGCGTGATCAGTAGTCAACCCCCGCCTGTCTCTAATCTACTTTATTTCTCTTTTACTTATTTAAAATGCAAACATGTAAAATTCTATTTACCAATCCGCTATATATATATATATATATATATAATATACACACACTGTCTTTTGCTACATCTTGTCTCATAAATTCGACAAGTATCTTTCGGTTCTTTAGGATCTATTAGAAACTATGACTAAACTGATTTTCACATTTTAACTAATTCTGTCTTCAGTATCTGTCTACATTTCTGAGGCATTATGTACACTATTTACATTATTCGGACTATTGTCCGAATCTTTTGTACGCTCCAGCCTTCTTCAGGTGGTTGGAATGTCGAACTGAACCCTTTATTTCTCTCACCGGGGTAGATTGTTCTAGTTCCACGTGCCATGTTTAATGGATGTTAGTTATCTCCCGTTAATTCCCCTCTCCAAGTTCTCCTTGGGTCCTGTCACTAGATCTAACCAACGCCTTTATCCACTGTGCCATGTATTCTCGAGTGTGAGTTCAATAACCGGTTAAGGCAGTGGAGAACTTGGAGAGGGGAATTAACAGGAGATAAATGATATGACAACGTCTGTCCATTTGCCAAGCTACCCAGCGGCCCCTATTCCGCCGTCTATTCACACGCCCTCGTCAAACTTGCTCTCTGTTCTTCTTGCCCTTGATAAATGTCAAATTCTCCACGCATTCTTTCCTCATTACGTGTTAGACATTTCAGCTGTCTCTTAAGGTTCTTTTTGTTTACAATTTTTCTTACGCTCTCTGTCCATGGAATTCTCAAAAAAATGAGTGATTCATTAGGCCTTATAAATTACTTACTGTGGCTGTTTAGATTGTCAAAAATTATACAAATCTGTCTTTACCCACAATCCCTCGTTGAAGTGGGAATCGGTGGATGACTTCTACAACTTTAATTCGATAACCTTGGAACCTAGATATTGCCTGACCACATAATTTGCAAGAAAACAAATACTCCTAACAGAACCTCCGATGTAAACATGCACCAGACTACTCGTCTTGCCAACTCATTCCATATGTAAATTGCTGTTATCAAAAGTGGAACAGATTAAGACGTAAAAAAAAAAATCTTCCAAACAGTGTTTTTCATGTCAGCACGGATTTTTTTTATACTTTTGGTTGTATAAAAACAAAAATTAAATCCGAAAAGTCTTATACTAAAATAAACATCAGACGTTAGAAAAATGTACTTTGTTGCTATTTCAATGCATTCGGTTTAATGTGTGTGTGTGTGTGTGTGTGTGTGTTAAAGAACTCTAGTAGCAGATCTCCAAATTAATAGCATCTCATTCAAAACGTGTCTGGTTATATACAGCTCCTACTTCGAGGTTCAGTCAGTTTCTTCCCGAAATCATAAATTGACCAAATCTCTTACGACGTTTTCCCCTCTCATTAGAAACAGTTCTGTCTTGATTCATTCAACACTATCGCTTTTGTCATAGCGGTATTTTTATTAAAGAATAAATTTTTGTCTCAATGTTTAACACTTAAAGATTGAATAAAGTGTTATTTTGAGAAAGCTACGACTGATCGAAAATGTACAAATCTTTGGGCTGAGAAAATTTTTGCTAAATAGTACTTAGTGGTCGAACATATTAGTTGAGGTTGATAACAAATCAATTAGTCATGGCGTTGAGCTATCAAAAGTTATTCATGGTAGTCGCTTTCGTGTGTAGCTTTCTCATAAGAAAATGCTGAACCATATTTACTGATTTCGATTTTAAAATCCAACTGGATAATTTACGAGAGAAATGCACCACCAATAACAATACTAAAGGCCAGTATTAATCCAAAAAAAGGTTCATGTGTATAGGGTGAGATTAAGCTTTAAGCTTCAAGGGAGGAGATGATTGATTTGAACAAGTACTGTTCCCAATTTGACCATTTGGAAACAGCAATTGACTATCTGGAATTAGTTAACAGAATGTGGAATATTATGAAGATAATGCTACTTTATTTCTATAGTGACCAGGCGGATTTTGTTACATCGACTGGGAAGTTTCCGTTCATCCATCGTATTTCCTTTTTTTCATGTCCTTTATATTTTTGTTTCTCTTTTTATCCAATAAAACTCTAAATTCCTTGACTGTGTAGCATTGGTATGCTAATCTTGACTTGACCCTTCAACTACATTTTTTTTATTATCTCTCTCAAAAAAGAAAAACCCAACATCTTTTGAAATGACTTCCTTCGAATACGCAAAAAGT